TATATATATATATATATATATATATATATATATATATATATATATATATATATATATACATACATACATACACACACACTTTTTATACATACACACACATATATACACACACACAAATACAGACAGTCCGTGTTTGTATTCAGACACATTTCAAACTATCCTTTATCTGTCCCTCAGCAATACGGTCCTTTTTATCAACATTAATTTGAAAGGCAAATGGAAGCAGTGGCACTCTAAAGATAAGCAAGTATAATGTCATAAAGTAATTTCAGGATTGGATCAAAGGTTCCGATCTGTACAAATGATATTAATACCCTAACTAAGTGTTGTTGTCTTTTGTTTATTGTCAAACATGGAAGTGACATTTCTAAATAATATATATTTTTTCCCAAACTGGCCCATACTTCTGAGTTTTGCTCTTAATTAAAAAGCAAACATATAGCTATATAGTAAATAATCATGTTTTTCTCTTTATTTAAAATAACTCCAAAACATGCTAAATTACAGTATTAACGATTAGGACATAGCATGAGGAAAAACTGTCAAAGAGACAAACAAAAAAGTAGAATGCAGCTCCAAACTTTTCTTTGTAAACAAACAAACACGTCATCCTCAAACCCTGTCAGTCTTACCAAAGCTATTGTCCTCTCCAATGTCCCGTCCATATTTATTCATAGCCTCCCCGAGAAGCGCCTCAGACTGGGGATAACCAGGACTACTCTGGCCCTGGCCTCGGATCTTGGACACTGTGTTCATCATGGTGAGCTTAGCTCTGGACGCAGGATTGGGTTGCAAGTACTCCGTTGTTTTGGTAATCACATCCATTACTGCTTTGCTGGTAACATCCGCTTTCTGGTGGGAAACAGGAAGACAAAAAGGAAAGAAAAGTCCAATTACCATCAGGGGCATTACTTAATAGTGCAGATATTTCCAACAAATTGAAAACTACAAGATAAACAGGCTGTAATTACCCGTTCAAGTTCTTTAAAGTCTTCATCCAGTTTAGTTCCTTCAGCACCTCCAACCTTTTCACTCATCAACTGTGGACATAAATCAGGTAAAAGCATTACTTCAAGTACAATTGCTTATATATTTGTTATAACATAATCCAGCTTTAAAAGTACATGGTAACCTTAGTGATTACCGAGTAGGAGCGCATGTTTATTGTGATATATAAAAAAACAAAAAAGAGCAGAAGCAGCTTAGGTTTAATATTAAAACTTGAAAGCGTTTTGTTCTTATAAATGAAGTACTAAATGATAGGGCTTCTGACATGATAAATGTAATTATTTGTGTTTTTTGAATAAAGGTGGACATTATACATATTTTTTGTCCAAATAATGATTTAATTTACAGCCTGTCTTATGACGGCGCCTTTTGAAGCCAGGGGAAAGCACTTTCCACTACATTCAGTCATGCCAAAACACAATCATACAGATGGTGCCAAACTACTTTGTAGCCACAGCTGCCCTGGGGAATAGTGACAAAAGTGAGGCTCCTGTAAACAGACATCAAAAGGGAGAAGTGTTTTGCCCAGGGTCACAAAAGCTGTGGCACACTGTCATAGTTTGGTGAGGTTCGAAGTGATTCAGAACAAACTTTTTCATCCTACAATCAAAAGAGTTTATCACTAAACCCTAAATCTACTCATCATTACTTTAAATATGACATAAAGAATGATACCTAGGTTCCAAATTTTTACTAGTAAGAAACATGCATTTTTTCTGTATTCTTTTAACATTGTAAAACTAAATATTTAATTTGATCTTTTTGAATAATTCTTCTATTTCTAGGTTTAATTTAATATATTCTACAATTTCATGAATTAGTTTCACATTTTCTTTAACATTGCTGCATAAATATCAGGAAAAAATGTTAAAATATAATTTGTTTCCAAAGTCAAAGTAACAATTCACATCCTGAGGAAGTCAGCTAATTAATAGATTCTTCAGGCGTATACAAAGACTCATCGTTGGATCAGAACCATGCATCATAGACTCGACCCAGAAACAACCTCCAAGCATCTGGATGTGGAACGGACTAATGCAAGCATTGCACTTGAGAACATCAGGTTCATATGAAGGCTTTTCCTTTTTCCATCAGGTCAGCACATGCATTATGATTTCCTTCATGATAACCACATCCCAAAGTTTGTTTTACTGTGAAGAAAATATAATTTTATATACTCCATCTGTCACATATTGTTTCCAGCCACAATGATGACCCAATACGTGTTAGTCTGGATGTTATTCAGGAAACCTCACTGAAACGCTCAGCACCATACTAACAGAGATCGTCAGTACTAAATTATGCAGCGCAGTATGGAAAAATCCTCTATAAACACACAATGGTTTCTTAGATTAGCATGCAAAAAGTTAATGTATTAATTACAAATATGGACAATGTATTTATCAAACTACCGTAATAATCTTTGTAGTCGACAATCCCACCTAAAGTTCAATTATTATTATTATTAGAAAAGAAACAAAGACATGCAAAGATCATAACAGATCTATAAATTTGGATAAAAAGTGCATAAATCCAGATTGTTAGGGAAGTCCAGCTCCACTGCATACTCCTGAAAGGAGTCCCAAACTTTATCTAATTTTTTGCCACCTTCCTTTTAAAATGAATCATATTTTTTTCAACTTAGCAAAAATAAAGAACTTCTCTGACTTTAACAAAATAAATGTGCTGAGCCAATAAACAAACAAGGTTTTAACATGTTAATAGGGTTTAAAAAGTAATTTAAAATACTGTATAGTTACAGGGACATCTTTACAGATATTGGGTCAACATGGAAACATTTGCTACTTCTGTAAAAGTGAGACAATAAAGATTATATTTCCAGTGGAACCAGTATTGCAGCTTTACTGTGTCTGTTTTTGTTTGGTTAAAGAAAAAAAAAGGGCCCTCCAAACTCAAAATAAACAGTGCAAAACTCCATAAATGTTTTTGGGACAATCCAGGAGAAGCATCAGATTCTAAATGAATCCACATTTTGACTATAACTGTAGGAAGTTAGGACTTAATCAGTTAAAACCCATTTGTTTCACAGTACATTTAATGATAAGTGTGCCAAGTGGAGCCGTTTGGCACAACATAACATTGTTTTTAGCTTATAAAATGGAATCTGTTTGAATAAAAGTGCTGATTTCTATTGGAGAACTCCTTCTGCTATTGAAATATCATCTAAGTGTATCACTGTGCAAAACTTAGCTGTATCCCTTAATCTTCATATGGAGGAATAGGAATTTTATTAAGCAAAATGAAATAAATTGAAGAAGTGCAAAGAAAAAATAACATATAAAGTATGTTTACTTTATGTGGGGAGGAGAAAAAAAAAGAGAAAAAAATCACTCTACAACAGGACTGAAACTGTTAGTGCAATCATGATTAATCAATTATTGAAATAATCAACTAATAGTAATCGTTTAATCATTAACTAGAGAATGCAGACTCTAAACATGCCATTAGCTGAAAGAGCAATATATTTATACCCGAATTGTAAAAAAAAAATTAAAACACTTTGTACCGTATTTTAGTTGGAAAAACCGTTTTCGCCATGAATGTTTGATACAGAACGAATTAAATGGCGTAGTTTTAGCTATTAATTATTGTTCAAGGTACCCTATTGCGATCAGATTATCATCAGTTAATCTAAAAACAATAGAATACAGAATAATTAATAAAAAGAATCATAAGTTGCAGATATATATTGCAATTTCAAGTCTCAGACTGAAGTTTGGTATGAAACTCTAGTTTACATTCAGCCTGGTGGCACAATTGACTGGAAGTTATATCATCTGAAATGCATGGGTTTTACTTCCTTAGTAAAAAGTACTACAGAGATATGCTATACACTGTTGGAAAGGTAAATGTTTGTAGTTTGATGGGTTAGATTGCAATAAAAATAAATAACTGTGCAAAACTCATTGGGTGACTTGTTTTGTAAACATGAAAGCCTCCTCCTGTGATGGATTTAGGGAAAGAAAATAGAATTAACTCATTACAAATTTTGACCTATTTTTACAGACAGCAAAAAAAAAGCAAAAAAAAAAAAAAAAAAAAGCCTGTTAATCAGCTCTTAGAGGTATCAGACCATGGCAGACTAAACAGATTAACAACAGTTGAATGTGGCTAAAGTCCCCAACATGTAGTGTTTAAGTAGTCTGTGCATCCAACACATGTCAAACATGTTTAGCTCAGTTCATGGGGCGGCTCCATCTAACCTACAGTCAAATAAGGCTCAAATAAACAGGGCAGATGCAGTGTCTGGTTCATGCTAATGAGCCATTTTTATGCAAGATCTCCACTGAGGTGATGATAAACAGTATTTCAATGCAAGCCACAGGGAGAGCTAAGAAGAGAATGGGGGGCTGGCTAAAATTTAACAGTCTGTTGTGGGAACAACAACATCAAAAGCTATTTTTAAAGTTGGAGAATGCAAACCAGCGAGTCAAACATGCTTTGTTTCTGAACATTAACCCATCAAATGTTTAGAGGCAATTCTAAATGATCAACTATTGTTTTCTTCGTATGTTTTAGCATGAGACTATGTTATTCTTTTTAACATTAGCATCACAACCGTTGATAGGCACTTTGCTAACAAACCCCAACAGTATCCTCTTTTTTTCATTATCATTCTTTTTATAACCAGATTAAAAAGTTACTAATAGCTTTTTTAACGAGGTATTTGCCTTTAGTCATCTGGATGCTAATTTAATGCCTTTCATGCAGATCGTGCTTCAACATCCGGTTCTTCAACTTTAACCAAACCTTTAATGAATCCATACTGCAATGCTGCACAAGGGCATACCATGCCAGCTGCAAAATATGCCTGATGGTCAAACCCTTAACCTGGAAAAGCTATAAACAGAATTTCAGACTGACTCATCCCAGTAAATGAGCTTTAACAATGACAGGACCACATTAAAGTTAGGTGAAGTCATCATTACAGCATCTGTGGAATCCTAAGCGTGACAAGTCAGATTTCCTTGAGTGAAATCAGCTAATGTAGGAAGAACTGTAAAAAGCACCCACATGACTCTGAGTATCTACCCATAAAATAAGCATGGAGCAATTACATCAATTATATGACGTTCTGCCAAAATACAGGCATCTATTGGAAAAGAATGCAGCCACCAAAACCACTGCTACTGGTTTTGCAGGTAAAGCCATGCTATGAGTTGTGTTTTGCTATTTGGAAGAAACCCCAAATAAAGGGTGACTGGTGCCTAAAACCTGACTGAAGAAAGTTGAAAGCAACCTGTGCTTTAGGTTTACAGGAATATAACAACAGTCAGAGAAACTCAGGAAAGCTGTGTTGGATTTAAAAGATCTAGTGGCACCATCTATATTATTCATATTTGGAGAAATATAGAAAATGCACCTTTTTAAATCTGAAGTTTTTTAAATCACTCAGCTGAAATAACAAGTTTGGGCTCTGTTGAATCAAATCACCTCAACTGTCAAACAACCACTAGGATAACTGTGATATCAAATTTACATTTCAACCTTATAAATGTAGAAAAACTAAAACCCCATCTTTACAGGAATGCCTGAAACCCTCCATGTCTGATATGGGGGAGATAAACCCCTCGAACAGATGGTGCTAATCCTGGGTCCTATAAGTTAATGAGCATTTAGTTAAAAGGAAACTCGGTGACAATTTATACAAAATTAATACCAACGGTCATTTTATATATTAAATCGAACTATATTAAAATAAGTTATAAACTCAGAAACACGATAAATAACAGACAAACTAAGCTGAGCAGATCCTTTGAAGTTTAGTTAAACCTGAGATTAGCTCATTTCAGACTAATTTAAAAAGGTGTCAGTTTGAAGGTTTTTGCTATATTTATGTGTCTGGTTGCTTTCTGTTATTTTTATTCCGGCTTTTGAAAGCTTGTTCTATCTTAATTAACCGACTAGCTTCAAGCTAGTGGTACAGAAATAAGTAGAAGAGCAGCGAACAATGCTAATGTCTGAGGAAACAGTCCGTTTACCTGACTGGCTTTGAAGAATTGCTTCCTAAGTCCTGCGACCGACATCTTTAAACGGTTCTTACTGGTCTTCTGTTGGGAAAATAGTTAGTAAAAAGTCTCGGTGAATAAATTTAGCCCCAAGTGAGCCGCGAGAAGACCTCTTCAAACTTTTCTCCGCGGATAAGAAACTTGCTAAGCAACCGCAATTTCCTGGCTTCAAAAGTGGGAGGGTACGAACTGGTTCAAAACACCTACGTAGACATGGGTCGGTCTTCTTCCTTTTACACTCTATTAAAGTAATATCATTTTAGCATGTGTATATCCTGACAGTACGGAAGAGGATTAGGGCCACTGAAAAAAATTAAAAAAGTTAACTGATTTTTACAATTTTATTTCAGTATAAGAAAAAAGTCAGTATTCTGACTTTATACTGAAAAAAGTCAGTATTCTGACTTTTTTCTCAGAATTCTGACTTTTTTTCTCAGAATTCTAACTTTAATCTCAGAATTCTAACTTTTTTCTAAAAATTCTGACTTTTTTCTTAAGATTCTGAATTTTTTCTCAGAATTCTGACTTTAATCTCAGAATTCGGACTTTTTTCTCAATATTCTGACTTTTTGCTCAGAATTCTGACTTTAATCTCAGAATTCGGACTTTTTTCTCAATATTCTGACTTT